TATGAAAGCCCTAAACCAGGGGAATTAAATAAAAAAAAGTTGACTCATTTTTATATGTTAGATCACGAGTTATTAACAGATAAAAATTTACTTTGTAATTAATAATTTTTAAGTGGTCGGATACTTTTGCTAGGTGAGTGTATGTAATGTACTAAAATGAAATTTTTTTTTAATATTTTATATTTATAGTATATTAAAATTAACATTTTTAGTATATTATTCTAACATTTTGTATTTATAGTATACTAGAATGTTTTTATAAAATTTTTAATGATAAGATCTATTATGAAAGATAAATATTTATAAATATATGTGTATATATAATATTGAAAAAAATAAAATAAAAAAAAAATACTTATCTTTTATTCATATTTCTTTTTATTGAGAAAATTAATTATTTTTTTTCTTGATAGATAATCATTGATTATCTATCTTATATATTGGGAGTTTAAAAAAAAGTAATTTTTCATATTACATTAATTATTTCTTCAAATTATTTTTATATTATTTCATATCCATAATGAGTTATATAAATAATAATTTGATAAAAATAGAAAATGATTTAGTTATCATTATTGGAAAAAATTCTATTATTGAAAAAAATTTTGTTATTGAAGAAAATACTTATGAATATAATAAAAATAGATTAATTTAGAAAAAAAAAAAAAAACTATTTTCAATTCATTTATCAAGTATTATTTGACAACATTTTGAAAAAATATTTAATAAAGATGGTATTTATACAAATACAAAATATAATTATTGTAATCAAAAATATAGTACAAAATGTTTTACAACAATTTTTAATAAATATTTCAAAAAAAAAATAAGAAAATTCAATTAGAAAAAATAAGATTAATTGAAATAACATTTATAAATATTCAATTAACACAAGGAGAAGATTATTTAAATTCATCAAATAATCTTATTAACTATATAATTGAAAATTGTTTACTATTTAAAACTATAGATAGTTTACTTTTTTATAAATTTATTATTGGTATTAATTCTAAATTTCAAATTTCTTTATAACAAATTCTTCAAAAAAAAATTAATGATAAATATATACTGTATAAAAGTAATATTATAAAAATGTTTCAGGTAAATTTATTTTTTTATTGTCAAGTATAATTAATTACTTTAAATTTAATTATTTAGAAGAATAATTCAAAACTTACTTTTATATCTGATATGTAACTTCAGATACTAGTACTCCTTATATGGTTCTAACTGCATATTGAATCAATAATAAATGAAATTTGAAACATACTATACACTGGTCAAAAATTTATAAATACTAGGTGCCAGATAAATAATAAATAAGTGTATTAATTTTGTTAAATATTGATATTCAATATTTAACAAAATCAATATATTTATTTGTTACTTATTTGGCATCTGATAGGTGTAGTATTTATAAATTTTTGACCAGTGATAATAGCTTTTTAAAGGTTTCCTTATTTATATACAGAATTACAAATTGAAAAAGCTATTTTTAAAATTCTTCAAAAATTCTCAATTGGATCTAAAGTTTTATCAATTACAATTGACAATTAAATTTCAACTATGACAAAACTTATGACTAATCTTTTAGATGAATTTCAAATATCTTTTTATGTAATTAGATGCAGAATATATACAATTGCTCTTGTAGTAAATGCTGACTTAGAAAAATTTAAAACTATCATTAAAAAGGTACAAGGGTTTATTATAGAAACTCAATATTTTTGTGATTTTTTGAAACTTTTTTTTAACTTTACTGAAGTAATGTCTAATAGTAAATATCTAACTCTTAAAACATTACTTCTTTTATTAGATCATTTAAAGAATCATTTAACAGTTACACAAAATAATCAAATAACACCACCATGAATTATAAATATTACTAAAGCAATAATTAACAAATTTAATTTTTTATCTGAAAAGTTTTATAATCCAACAGCATATTTGATATTAATTATGGATTTATAGTATAAAACACAAATTTTAACAAATGAAATTGAAATAGATACTATTAAAAATTACTTATCAATAAGTTTAATAATTATAAAATGAGAGAAAATAAAAGGAATCCATCAGGCATATTGGAACAAATGCTTCAAAAAAAAAAAGAAAAAATCCTATAATTTATAATCATTTAATGAAGTTGATGAATATTTATCAATACAAATAGAATCAGCAAATGTTAATTCTTGTGAATGGTGAAAAAATCATCAATTACAATATCCTATATATTAAAAATTGCAAGGATATACCTTCTACATCTGTTCCAAGTAAACAGGCCTTTTCTAAATCTGGTGAGTTAGTTAGTAAACGTGATCAAGCTATTGAAACATGTACAGTATGTGTTTAAATTCTTGGTTAAAATTAGGGAATAATTAATCTTAATATTATAAAATTAATAATTGATATGATTAATACTTAATATAATTAATAATCAATATAATTAATAAGTAATATAATTAATGAATAATATAATTAATAAATAATAAATTTTCTTATTAAATAAAGTATTATAAATAAATAAAAAATATTTCACTATAAAAAATTTTTGACTTTGCTCACGATTTATAAAGCATGGAGAGATTTTCTACTAAGTTGTTTCTATTATAGATAGAAAGGCCTTGTTTTTGACTACAAGATGGTATGTATTTCATCTCTGTAGTGTCGATATCCATCGAGTTATTACAGTTTAAAGTCAAAACCTCTGTGAAAAATCTTCAGAAAATTTGTTATAGATTTTTCACGGACGTTTTGACTTTAAACTGTAATAACTTGATGAGTATCGACACCACAGAGATGAAATACATATCATATTGTAGCCAAGAACAAGGCCTTTCTATCTATTATAGAAACACCTTAGTAGAAAATCGCTCCATACTTTATAAATCACGAACAAAGTCAAAAAATAATTTTCATATACAAAAATTTTTGAAAATTCCAATTTGATTCTGTCAGCCCCATCAATCCCATCAATTCCATCAACTTCAATCTCAAGCTGATGGGATTGATGGGGTTAATGGGATCAACTTGAACTTATCAATCCTATAGACCCCATCAATCCCATTTGATCCCATTGACTTCGATAGCTTGGTCCAGTTCAGTTTGACTTGTACCTTCAAGTCGATTAGGTTCAGTTTGGTTCAGCTTGACTTGTCAACGGTTTGGCTTGACTTTGGCCCCAAGTCAGACTAAACCGGACCATTAACAACACTACTTCAGACTTGATTTATAATAGAAAGTAATTTTCTACTATAGTATTTCTAATATAAAAAGAATGGCTTTGTTCGTGGTTACATAATGATATATCTTTTATCCCAGTAGCATCAATATTTGTGAAGATATTCATGTTTAAATCAAATGTCTGTGAAAATTTTCCAGAATTATGGCAGGAATTTTAATATCTCCATGAATATCGAAGCTATCTGAATGAAAGACATATTACATTGTAGCCAAGAACTAGAGCTTTCGATCCATCATAGAAATACCTTAATAGAAAATCGTTCTCTGTCAAAAATCGGAATTTTTACATAATCTCATGTATAAATCACATGATTTATTCGTTTGACGGAAATTTCACAATCGTTTGACTTTAAACGCGAATATTTTCGCGAATATTGATGTTAAAGAATAAAAAATATATTATCTCGTAGCCAAGAATAAGGGCTACCGATTTGTCATAGAAATATCTGAGTAGAAAATCGTTTCCTTGTCGCGTAAATTACGGCCGAAGTCAAAAAAGGTATTACGGCAGAATTACGGCAGAATTACGGCTGCATTACGGCATTACGGAAATAGTTGCAACTACCGTTGTTTATCCCCTTAAGAAAAAATTCTTTATAATAATAATAGAATAAAATCAATTGTTTCTATTTTATTATTATTATCAAATCAAATACACATTATTTACAATATTAAATAAATATCCCGTCTCTAGTAATCGAACCTCCTAGAAAAAAAATTTATTTAAAATATGTCGAAACTGTTGATCGTTGTATCATATTACAGATATCAAAGTGACAAAGTGAAGAAATTGAAAAGTCAAAGGAACAGGAAGTAGAAATTATTTTAATATCCAAGATTAAAAGATAAAATCATTCTTTCGATTGAAACTAAAATACGGAAATGACGATAGTCAAATTAAATGAATGTTCTCTGGAAAATTTTTATAGCATGTAAAATATAAGTATAAAATAGTATAATAAAGGTGCAACAGTACAATCTAAATGCATTTGTAATTTTCGAAAGTTTTTTAAAATTTTAAAAGCTTGCGTAATTTAAAGCGTAAGCGTTTTTCCTACGTAATATCTGTTTGCTACACCTACTTTACCTACGAACGGTAAAGGTAAAACTGTAAATCCGAAATAACGGAAAAACTTTATCCGTTCCGTAATTAAAACTTCTAGAACTGTCTAGGAATTACGTTTTTAATATCCATTATTACATAATTGTAATAAGGGTAAAACCCAAACAAAGTACAAAAATAAATTGTATTGATCTAATGACAAATTTGTAATGTTTCCATAAACGTCATCTGCCGCAACAGTGCTTATCGTATATTCGTAAGCAAATACGTGTTTATAGCTTACGAATCGAATTTGCAAAACTCATTTATTTTTAATAAGTAATATTTTTATTATTGTATTTACAGTCATCTAAAAAAAATATAAATAAGGAGGTAAAGACAACAGCAAAATTTGCAAAAAAAAAAAAAAAAAAAATTCGAAATTCAAAAATAAAAAAATAAAGAATTTTTCAAATTAAACATAATAAACCTATTTAAAAATCCAAAAATTAAAAGATCAAACTTTATAATTCTTTACATAACTATTGAAATTAATTATTGAAAAAACATGGCAGTTATAAAAGTGACTTATAACCAAATCTCTCGTCGTTTTGATATTTCTTCAAATACCACTTGGGTTACCTTAGAATCTCAACTTCGTTCTCTTTTTAAACTTCCTACTAATTCTTCTATTTCTCTCTCTTATACTGATGAAGACGGCGATGCTATTACATTATCTAGTGATTTAGAACTTTTCGAAGTTTTATCGTCAGTTCATGATAGTAGTAGTAATAATAGTAATGGATCCGTATTGAAATTCGTTTTAGATGTTCATGAATATAATAGAGAAATTTCTCGAGAAAGTGATAATAGTTGGGTATTGGAAGGCATTAATAATGATAATAATGATAACAATGATAATGAAAATAATGATAACAATGATAGTAGTAGTAATGAAAGTGAAAGCGAATACAACGATAACAATGATAACAATGATAACAATTATAACAATGATAATATTGATAAAAATAATAATAAAAATAATAACGAAAATGATATCGAAGCATATTTCATTAACGATATTCCTGAACGGAAAGAAAAAAATGCGGGATTTACTACCCATCATAATAGAGAGCGAGAAGAATATGAAGAATATAAGCCATTAAATAAAAATAATCTTCACGTAACTATTACTGAAGAAGCTGAAGAACCCACTTTTGAACCTAATATTTTTTCAAACGATTTCGTGAGTCAAAATTCTAATCACGCCGAAAATGTTCCTCTCAAACAACAACAACAACAAAAAATTTTCACTGAAAATCAACAATTACCAAAACCAGAAACCCTCGGTTCTTCGTCCAAATCAAACCGTGAAGAAAATGATAAACAAGAAGATAAAAATAAAGATGAAAAATCCTCATCACAAGAATCACCTTATAATCGACGTCATTTATTTATTGATTCTCGACTTCCGCTTTTTGTTCATCCATTATTATCTAATCGTTCTCGATTCTCACCTTTTGGACATCATTATCAACCATCTTATTCACATACTTCACATCCTTCATTTAGTGATTGTGAAATATTATGTCCTCGTTTCTCTTCCAATCCAAGATTTAATTCAAATAATAACTGTTGCAATAATAGCAGCAATAATCATTGTATAATTGTTTTAGGATTTAAAAGGATCGTTAAAGTTATACTTTCAATCTTACTTTTTATCACTCTTATGAAATTATTTTTCGCTGCTTTCTGTCCATTATTAATTCTCTTTTTATTAGGGAAATTATGGACTAGAGTAAGTTCTAATAACCTAAGACCTTATCCTGAATCTTTTGGATTTGGTAGATGTCATAGTATTAGTATTCATTGTAAAAACGAGGAAGGAGAGGAAAAAGAGGATGAAGAGGATGAAAATGAATTAAGATATTTTAGTAGAAGGAGATTTGGTGGACCACCAAGATGTCATAGAAGTCAATTTTCTGAGGAATTTAAACGAAGAGAATGTCAACAACAACAACATGAAATCAATAAAAAGTTAGAAACTTTAAAATCAATGGGTTTCAATTTAAATGATGAAATTTTGAAGGAATTAGTTAAGAGATCTAATGGAAATTTAGAAAGAGTTGTTGAGAGATTATTGGCATCTCAGTAACGACAATGGATTTCTACTATAACACACTTTTAATGGATATTTTTTATTATTAATTTATTTCATTTATTGCATTATTTATTTTATTATTTTTATTTTATTACATTTATTTGTTTATCTTTTATTTAATTTGTTAGTGAGGAATTTTCGGTATTTTCCTATTTTCTCACTAAATAATAAAATACATAAAATAAAATTTATTTTTTAAACAATAATCAGTGAAATGTCATAAAAATTACATATCACGTTTCTTAAAATTTCGGAAATTTTGTTACTGAATTTAGAAACTGTTTGTAAAGGCTTTTCTTGTAACTTTGATATCCATAAATTATAACGACAAAAATGAATAAAAGTATCCACCATTTTTATTTATTCCTTGATACAAATAATTATTATAAGTTTGATGAGAGAGGGAAGGATGGATGGTTGAATTAACTGCGTCAATTAACTCTCCAGTTGGGTTTTTTTAAAAAAAAAATTTCTTTCATACTTCGGCGGTAAAACTGTTACAAATAATACCAACCACTTAATCGTTCAAATATCAAATACAACTTATCAATCGTTCAATTATACATTACTTTACAGATACTACAAACTGCTCAAAAATCTTCTATCCAAAATTTATAACTTGTCATTCACATTCATATTACAGCACCAAAAATTTTAGTAATCAATCTTCTAAAATTCACAAGAATCAAAAGTTATACATTCAAATTATCTTATATATTTAAGAATCTATAGTGGTAATTTGAATCATCAAGATTCATTACCACTTTTTATTATTTCATCACTCGAATCCTTTTTATTAAATAATAATTATTTCTTGATCAAAAGTGGCACACAACTTTGGAATCCATACTATTCTGGCGGTCATACTAATTTACCGTCTTGTGGAAAGAAATTGATCATAGGGATGTTTATTAATTCTTTTTTTTTTTTTTGCTAGAGATCACAACTAGATGATGTATGGGATTGGGATCATTGAAGAAATATCCAAGACATATTTATTTTTAATTTATTTCTGGAAATTAGAAATGAACTTGCTTTAGTTAGATAAAGATGAATATGAGAAATTTTTTTAGAGAAACAACAACAAACGTTATTGATCTCTCAATATTATTTATCCATAACATTTATTTAAAATAATTTTTAAATTTTACTATTATTGGATAACGAAAGACACCAGTTATACGTATTTTACTCAAAGGTTAATGAAACTGAATCAGATATTTGAATCTGTTGATAACAATAGAACAAAAGAAAATCCACCAGAAGAAAACTAACCAGAAGAAAACCTGTCTGTCGAACCTGCAACAACTGAGGAAGTTTTAAGAGAAAGTAAATAACATTATTTACATTAAATCCTGACTAGAGATCATAGTTCTCTTTCTTATATATAGAATTTAAAAATTAACACAAGTCAAACACAAAGAATAGGACAGTTGATTTTAGCTGGTCTATAATATAGGAATTCTGATTTTAGCTGATCTATAATACAGGATTTATTCGGTACAGCGATTTTTTTGTATTTGACTAGTGTAAATTTATTTTAATATTTAATACATCCAACTTTATGAGAATTTTACTAGAAAAATCTCAAAAAAATTCTAAAGATTACAAACATTTCATAACATTTTTCTTTATACCTTTTATATAATGCAGATCCCGTGTTTTAAGTTATTAAAGCAAACAAATATTTATGGCTCTTTTATGTAAAAGTTCATTCAAAATAATATTTTTAATAGTCAAAAATTTCATCAAGTACCTCTCTGAGCAACTATATTCAACCTACCTCACTATCACTCAATATTAAATAAAAATCAAAAGCAAAATTGCTCTTGCTCCCAGTTTTTAATACATTCAATGCGATAGAAACAATTGAAATCATAAAAATATATTATAACATAAAGCCAAGAAATTATCCTCTTGTAAATAAGGGATTATCTCGATTTTAAAAATCCTATATTAATGTCTCTTTCATTATATTGGAGATTTTTCTATTTTTTTAAAAAAAAACTCTTCAATTAATTAATTAATTCGTGATTCGCGAGAAACGGAAAGATCTACATTAATAAAATGTGGGGATAAGTATATAGTAAAAATATATATATGCGATAATCTCAAGCCGGAATGGGAAAATTACAAAAGTCATTTTATCAATTATGATAAAAAAAATCAAAGGTTCTGATTGTATATATTTTTAAAGTCAAATGGTTACATTAATAAAATAAGATAAAGTTTCCTTTTTTTAATAAACAAAACTTTCTTTTCGATTATATTTAAAATTTTATTTTGCCCCAAAATTTATTATGTAGATCCTTTCCGAATCGCGAATTAATACTTTATTTTGATATCCAAGAAATATTTTTAAAGAAAACAGCTAAGTATTAGTTATAACTAGTTCTTATTTCATGCTGTAATATTTTATTACATTTGATGCACCTGTTTTGTTTTTTTTCATTTGGATTTAATGATGTAACTTTATTCTTTATTAGATTTGGATTTATTTTCACAATAAATATTTTAATGAAAATATACCGTACCAATCAAATTAATGGTCAATTTTTTAAAAATGAGGATACTTGCTATACTTGCTGGAACTTATAATAAGAGGAAAAAAGTTATGAGTTGGATAATTAGTTGTAGAGACTAGATATAGTCACCTCGAACATCAAAATAATTTTATTAATGTCTTTTAATAATTTGTCATTTTAAATTTTATGATTTATTTTATTTTTGTTTACATTTTTTTTTTCATTTTATTCATTTAATTTTTTGTATAAATTGTGAAGCAAATGATAAAACTTTAAATAGCTCTTTTCTTTCCTTATACTTTCAAACTCAACCTTAAAAAAAAACCAAACAAATGACTAGATCAACTCAATTGCTATCTGTTTCCCTATGTTAATTCTTCTGGAATAAAATTCTAGTTGCCATTATTGGTCTATCATTTTATTGAGACAATTTCTTCTTTAAGTTGCTTGCTTGGCTGATTTTGTTGGTTACCTTTTGATTTGACATGTTTTTTAGTGTATTAAAATTTTCTCTTTAATGGTTTGAATGATTTATCAAAGTAAATGTAACTTCAAGAAAAATAGTTCAAATGGAATCAAATAAGACTTTAATTGCAATGCAATTTTTACCTGCACAAAAAATAAATGGAATTTTTACCTTTATACTAAGATTAATCTTTATTAGTAATTAGATAGCATGAAATATATTAAATGAAACATCTTGTGTTCTAGGAAAGCAATGTTGAATGACATTATACTGTACCAAAAAGAAAGTGTTATATCACACAACTTGTATCACAACTTTCATGAGAAATCAGATCAGATAAATCAAAGGTAACAACCAAGATCAGAATTCAAAAGGAAATATTATAATGGCATATTTTTGGTCATTTATCTAAATACCATTGTATTTCACTTTAATATTATACTTCAAGAACTATCATCAAGAAAACACACATTTTTCTCCTTTTTGGTAATTAAAAATATATATGTTTATATAATATCTTAACTTTAATTAATTAATAAAAAATAAAACTATAAAAAGCATCTTACTTTAACACTCAAATAATGTACCAAAAATTCAGTTAAGAAAAATAGAACTCAAGGTGATTTAACCTTTTCTTTCAATGAATGGGATAGTTTTGATGTATTCTTTACCTTACTTTAATGACAAATAATTCTTTTACTTTCTTAATAGTTTAATAGTTTTTGAAATAATTTAATATTGAAAATAGAAATGATAAAAGAATGGTTTTAATTGTGATTAAGGATTAGTAAAAAAAAACCAAAGAAAATAATGCACTTTGACATAAAACTAGTTTTTTACGGATTAATTAAGAGTAACCATTTAAAATATTTTAATTACTCTAATATCACACTCATTCTATTACCAGTAATGCATTCAATAATTACAATCAAAGTATATTAAAAAATTATATTAAAATTTATATTATTTATCATGTATTACAAAAGTCTTACAAAAACAAGGGAAATTTTAAAAATGTATAAGGACATAAGAATAGAATTTTTTTTTTCATGATCCCTTTAAATTGTAAATTCATTAATCCAAGAATAGTCAACACATGAGAAAGTAATTGGGAGGAGAGATGATATAGTTTTTATTATATTTTTTCTTATTATTTGTATTCAACAACTCAAAACTGCATTTCTTCATTATAATTAAAAATGGAAATTAAAGCTTAATAAGTTTGTAAACTAGATCTGGATCATAGATTTTCTTTAAAATAAGTATTATTATTACAATTTTATGAAATCAGATAAATGTGTTTATATTGAGACCTTTATCCATTACATTTATCACCTCTTTTTTTTTTGATTTTAACCTTTATTTTAGATTAATTAAAACATTAAAATTACATATAAAGTATTTTATTCATGTAAAACTAATTTAATGTTTCTCATAAACCTAAATCTCTAAATGTAATCTTGGAGGTGTTTCATTGCTGCTTGAGTGCAGGGTGAAAATTCAACTGTCTTAACCATTAGGACTTAGGAACAATCAATCTCAAACCTTAAAGCTCTCTTATTATTAACATTTATTACTTCATTAGCATTATTATCAATTCCTGTCAAAGATGGAATTTACTGATCTAAAATGTAACTAATTATTAAAGTGATTTCATCAGAACAATTCTATAGATGTAATATACATGTTTCCGAATTATTAAAAATATAATAAATTAATTTGGAATTTGAGACTAATTTTGGATTCTGGATTTAACATTTGAATTTAATTATGTTTTACATCTGTTAAGTATGTCAAATGAATAAAACAGAACTTTCAGACAAACTATGATTACCATACATGTTGCCCAAATTACTCGGAATTTGAGATTTATGATTTGGCATTTGGTATTTGGGTTTTTGAAAAATAATTTGGGCAACATGTATAATATACACTTTCTTCTACTTCCTTTCTAAGAAGGAAGATGTTGAATGAGAGCTGAAATCTTAATTTAGTATCCATCATGGATTTCAGATTTGTTTAATGTAATAAAAAATGATATAGACTTAAATTTAATTTTTATGACAAATGTATTTTAATTAAATTTAAATTTAAAATTCTTTGAATGATAAATGTCTTATAGTTATAATTTTATGTTTGAGCTTTATATTAATTCTTTAATGATGTTAAATTTTACTCAACATATTCATTTAATTTAAATCAATTATTTTTAATACTAATTTCCTTCCAATCACCAGGTTGAACTTTAGGAATAACGATAATCTTGTAATATTTACCAGCGCACTTCTTTTTCGACGGAACAATGATTACTTTGAAGATTTTAAACTTGAAGACAAAGTACTTTGTACTTAGGCATCATAATAACCTTATATTTGCGATGACCTTTAAATAATTGACCAAGCATATTAGATGGTTCGACGAGTTTTGTATTTCAGGAAGTAAATCTTTGGAAGAAATTCTGGCAGTGATTCGGTATCGATTTCTCCGGGTGTGGTGGTATTAAAGAATTTTCAGCGACGTCTTGAGCTTCAGATTCTTCAAATAATTAGAGAGAAAGTTAGGCAGATGCTAAAGAAGCATAAAGTTGCAAGAATAAAAGTTCTGAATAATAAAAATGCTTTAGTTTTCATTTATCGTTTAGTAATAAAAGACAAAAGAATTATGAAGAATGACAAGGTCTAAGACGTGCTATTTATATAATGTTTATTTTAAGCATTTAGAATTTTCTTGATCAAGAACTTTCCTTATAGTAAAAGGTAAAATAGAGTAGAGTTTCATTTTCCTACGAATAGCTTATTTACCAATAAAATTGTTATTTTATTAAATTCAATATCAATTAAACTTATAGTGCGTTACTTTATCAAACATTTTATTATAAAGTTTGAAATGATTCATTAACTTTGATAAATTTTGCTTTTTGAACTCGAATTTTTTTAATTAAACGCAGCCTCGGAAATGTCGAAAACAAAAATATTCCTAAAATGAAAGCTTCACATTATATAAAGGCAAGGCATATAACGTTTTAATAAATTATTTTTTTCAAATAATAAAATCACTTTAGTGAAATCCTTTATCTTTTTTTTTCAAGAATAATTATTTTAAAGAATAATTATTTTACAAGAATAATTATTTTACAAGAATAATTCTTTTACAAACAATAAAACTAAAATATGTACTTTTTATAAAGAATTAAACTGACTTTTTCAATGTAAATGTAATTTTAAACTAAGATTTTTCATTCCCTATTTGTCTATTTTGCATAACTAAATCACGTCTCTTTTGCTCATATTCCTAAAGAATAGAATAAAATAAAATGAAAAATGAATTTATAAAAAAAATAGTTGTTTGAATTATAATTTTTTTAAGTTTACCTCTCGTTCAGAATTTATCAAACTTGTCCATTCTTCAGATGCAGCTTTAAAAAATTGAACAGCGGAAATTTCTTCATCTGAAGTTAATCGTTTATACCGTTCTGAACAGAAAATTCCAAATGCATTCAATGGCCATTCAAATTCTGTATTTGGATCGATGGATTTTGATTTGTTTGTCTTTCAAAATATATATATATATATATATATATATATATATATAAAATGGTAAATTTAAATTTATAAGTAATAAATATAATTTAAAATTCATAAATAACAAATATCTACTTACTTTTCTTTCGGTTTTTCCTTTACATTTACTTGGCTTCAATGTTCTTATTTTATTGGTGGCGGTTAATGATTCACAGTTTTCTTCATGGTTTGGCTTGAGTTGACCAGAAGTGAGTTTATCTTTTTTTTTATTTAGATTTGCATTAAGTTTCTTTTTACTTCTAGTATTATGTACCTTTCCCGGACTATCATAATCCCACATATTCGATGTTTCTACATAATCTTCATCTTCCATTGATTCATCATATTCATCTCCACCATTATAATAAAATTCGTCATCTGATAAATAAGATCGTAAATTACCTTTTTCTAAAGATTCGTTTTGATTAACACCAGTAAATTTACTTGAAATATCATCATCATCTCTAATTTCGCCTTCTTCTAGAGATGATTCTTGAGATTCATTATAATTACCATTATCTTTTTCGTTATCGTGATCTTTTCGTGAATCAATTGGAAAAGGATTTTCATTTTTCTTATTAAGACCCATCATTTCAGCTACCGTATTCCATTTTTCGGATTCAAGTGGAGTAATTTTTATTACAATTCCCTCAGGAATAACTCTTTCCAAACTTTTGTATGCAGCATAAGCATTTTGAGCTGTTTCATCTAATTCGAATAAAGCATGATCGAACTAAAATAATGATGATGATGAGGATGATGATAATTAAATAAAAATAATAATAATCATCAATTAATTAAAAATAAAAATTATAACAATAAACGTGAGAATGATTTTTAAATAAGCTACTTTATGATATTTTTCGAGAAGACATTCTGATAATTCTGATGAATCATCTTTATCATTAGTAGAACCGTTTTCTAAATTTTTCAATATTTTAAATTTCTGAAATTTTACTCAAAAATTGAAATTTTCTTTGAAATTAATAAAATGTAAAGTCATTACCATTATTACATTCATTACTTTGACCAATTTGATTTTCGTTAGTTACTTTTGATTTCTCGTTTGTTACTTTTGATTTCTCGTTTGTTACTTTTGATTTCTCGTTTGTTAGTTTTGATTTCTCAGATTTCTCGTTTATTAGTTGTTGTTGTTGTTGTTTCTGTTGTTGTTGTTGCTGTTGTTGTTGTTGCTGTTGTTGTTGTTTCTGTTGCTGTGGTCTCTGTTGTGATGGTCTCTGTTGTGATGGTCTCTGTTGTGATGGTCTCTGTTGTTGTTGTTGTTGAGAATTATTTTCAACAATATTAAAAGGTGTTTGAGGAGGCCAATGATAAATTTTGTCATTCACATTCGTTTTATTATCATTATTCTCGATATTCACATTATTCAAATTATTAACACGATGCGAATGCACTTCACATAATTTTTGCTTTTCTTTTTCCTCAATATTTTTAAGATTATTTATCGTTTGTTGTGAAGATTGTTGAAAAATCAAAGATGAATGTGATGATCGAAATTGTTCTTGATTTAGAACGAGAGACGATACTGATAATGTTGACGGTATTGATGGTGCTGACGGTGATATTGATGTTAATTCCGATGATCGGAAGGAAATCGGTCGCAATGGTTTCAATTGACGAACATTAGAAGAATCTCGTTTTAATATCTTAGAAGATTCTTTTTTATCTTTTTCATTCTTTTTATCTTCTTCATCCTTTTCACTTTCTTTGTCTTTTTTATCTTTTTCACTTTTTTCACCTTTTTCATCTAAATTTAATAAATCCTCCAAGTATTATTTTTATTTTTTGGTAATTGAGATTCAAAGATCGATATGAATCAATTTATTAGAAACTGATTCTGTAATAAAATCATTTTCGTTATTACCTGAATCTAAACTCATTTTAACTATTTCTGCTTCTAATTCATTCTCTGCGCCTTGAGAGTTTTTTACTGGTGGCACCTGTTCTACCTGCTCTTTAGACTTTTCTTCTAAAGGCTGATTATCTTTAGATTTTATAGATTTTATATCACATGTTTTGTTTGTTTCGTCCTGACTTTTATTGACGTCATAGTCTGGTGATGAGTCACTATCAAGGTCCATAGAAACAACTTCGTCATCGGAACTTGGAGGATCTTCTAAACTCATTTTCATTGTTATATATAAAAATAATATTTGAATATTTTCTAGTTAAAAGTTTAAATACGATGCATAATAGCATGACGGAAGTTCCCTTTGATTGGTAACAATTCATATGATCAGCATAAATTGTGATTGGCTAAAATCATTAAAGTAGTCATATGATACTAAAGCAAAAGTCTCGTTTGGAGTTTTTAATAGATTTTAAATAACCATCGGTATATCAAAAATGCGTTTTCATTATTACAAGTTGAAAAGAAAATAATAAATAACAGTACAAAATATATTAATATATTAATATAATAAACATATTCATATTTTCACTTCAAATATTTTAAAGTTAATTTTTTATTATTTTTAAAGTGAAAAAAATGTACATATAATTATGTTATAATGTAACTTTTTTTATAATAAGGTTTGAACTGTTTGAACTATACTTGCACGCAAAATTATTTTGGGGCCCCGAAATTGCAATTTCGGGGAAAAAAGTCGAAATAGTTTTTAATAGAAGACGAAATTATTTTACTTAAAACCCAAAATTTTTTGACCACCCAGATTTATTCCTTGATTAAAGATACATATAACTAGGTACTTTTTTTACTTTCATATATAGAATAGATTTTGCATAAATCTCAAAAAGTCGAAATAACTCAAAAATCCAAAATCAATTTTGGGAACATGTATAGTTTGAACAGTACCAGATCAGCATTGGATCAACAAAGATTCTCATTAGAACAACAAATAGACAAAGTTTCATTTCAAACAAATAGATACTTCACTGTATATCCATGATTAGGGATACCCTACAAAAAAAAGTTAAAAAATCGTGTATTACAATAAAAGTTAATCGACAATCTAGTATTGTGATGCGATAATAATTTTTTTTTTTTAAAAACCTTCTGTTTACTAAAGATTTTAATAACTTTATATGGAATGTTCATGTATTAACAGTGATTAATCTAAGTATTGCATTGTAACATGAAGTACATTTTTAAGTATTTGCTAACCAAAATTCATGTATATATTTTGTATATAGTTGAGCAATATATAGTTGAGTAAAAAAAAAAATTTAAAAACTAAAAAAAAATTAAAAAACTTTGTGATATATAACGTTTTGTGTCTGATGATCTTATATCACCTTTTTCTTATCAGAAATAAGAACTTTTATACTTTGATATGAAGTTACTCTCGATAAGGTGCATCAGGAAATTTTTCGGGGCATAAATTTCCGTAATAAAAACGGGACCCACGGAAATTTACGCCCAAAAATTCAATTTTTTTGACTTTGGTCGCAATTT